TTGCTATTGCTATTGCTATTGCTATTGAGGGCTACTCTGAGGGGGTGAAAGAAGAGACACCCCCAATAGCCCATTGAGGAGGGGTGGGGTGAAGAGGCCACCTTGGGGGCTGTCATGAGGGGATATAGGGTGTGTTAGAGTGCTCCTTGAGGCTGAAGGGGGAGAGAGAGAGAGAAAGACCACCTTCAGGGCTACTCTGAGGGGAAATTGTGTGTGTGTGTGTGTGTGTGTGTGTGTGTGTGTGTGAAAGAAGAGACGCCCCTTGAAGTTGGGGGGTGTATGAAGAGACCACCTTGAGGGCTGTTCTGAGGGGAGATGGGGTGTGTGAAAAATGAGACACCCCCCCAGGGCTCCCTGAGGCTAAGGAGGGGGAGGCCACCTTGAGAGCTATTCTGAGAGGAGTGTGGTGTGTGTGAGTGTGTGTGTGTATGTGTGTGAAAGACACGAGATGCGCCCCCTGAAGTGGGAGAGGGGGGGGTTAAAGAGGCCAACATGAAGGCTATTCTGAAAGGAGTTTGGGGGGGTGAAAGAGGACCCCCCCTCCAAACCGCAAGGGAGGAGGGAAAGGCCACCTTTCAGGCTGTTCTGAAGGAAGATGGGGTAAGAGAGAGAGAGAGAGAGAGAGAGAGAGCAGATTCCCCCTCCCCAATTCGTCCCCTGAGGTTGATGGGGTGGGGAGAAGCCACCTTGAGGTCTGTTCTTGGAATATCCTGAAGGTTAGTGGTGAGGGGGGGAGATGAGAGAGAGGAGATGATCCCCCTGCAAATGGGGCAGGGGGCGTCCTCTGCTCTCCTTTCGCCCCTGGACGCGCTGCCTTATTTGGGGCTGGGGGGCCAAAGGGGTGGGAGGGCTGAGGGCCGGCAGAGGCTGACTGGCAGGGGGTTAACCCCCTCCTGCTGCTCCCCTCCCCCTCCCTCCCCACCTCCAAAAGGGGAATTTTCCAGCTGGTAATTTCTGCTGCGTCAACACCCAGCTGGAGGGAGCGAAGAGGAGGGAGACAAGGGGGCATTTTCATAGCAGCGCCACTTCGCCAAAGAGGACCAACCACCCCGGCTGGGCTGGACTGATAAAAGAGATATTTAATTTTTTTAAAAAAAAAACTTTTTAAAAACTAAGCATTTGTGCAAGTTGGACCAAGAGTTACTCAAGTGAGAGAAGGGGAGAGGATAGAGCGACACCAAACTGCTTGGGAGAAAAGAAAAGAAAAAGGGAATGAGGTAATAATGTTGATGAAACATGTATATTTTCTCACTTTCTGCTTTCTCTTTCTGCCTCTTTAAAAGCTATGCCTGTTCTGTTTGGGTTTATTGCCTTTTCCCCTAAAACCTGACCCAGATTGCCTGGTCTTTGCTTCCATTTTAATTGCAGACGGTAAACATTGAAAGTCACCCCCGTACCTTGAAACTCAGCCTTAGAATTTAGTTACCTTTTAGTTCTGGAAGTTCAAAATGCTTGCAAAAACTTAAGAGACCGGTTTGAAAATATAGGCAGGTAAGTACCTTTTAAATGGAAGGGCTGTCCTCAGAGAATGATTAGTAGAGGAAAGAAGAAGTTATAGGCTTCTTTTTAAAAAAGAATAGAAAAAGACAGTAACGGTGTGGAAGAGTTTTCAAAGTTAGCGTTTTCTTTTTGTATGTGTAAATAGCTAGGTTTGTTCCATAAATGTAAGTAGCCTTTTATAGGGAAATCCCTTATGACAAATAAAGCACACAATGAAGTGTTCTTGTGGTGGATTAACTGGAATAAATTGAGAAACTGAGTACTTAACCTAAGTGATATACTGTATATATTTAATTTAGGACAAGAAATGTATATGCAGGAACAGGTTCATTCTTAATTGAGTTTTCTCCTTATCTTCAGTTTCTTGAATTTGTTTGACATAGAGTACTGAGAGGATTATCAGCTTTATTTCATGATATTATAAAAAGGATATTACAGCAAGTTGTGCTGCTGAAAGTACCTGTACTGAGCTGAACTGGTTGAACAGGTTGTATATATCATGAAGCAGTACTTCCTTTCTACCTACCTACCTACCTACCTACCTGCCTACCTGCCTACCTG